GCAACCTTCAGTTTGTTCCCTATATTTAAGAGTCTCTTATGTTTTGTCCTCCTCCCTGTTTTTATCTTATTTTTGCTTCCCTTCCCTCATGTTAATCTGTTTTGTATCTTAAATTCCACATCTGAGTGAAGTCATATGATGTTTGTCTTTCTCTGACTGACTCACTTTACTTAGTATAATACACTCTAGTTCCATCCACATTGTTGCAAATGGCAAGATTTCATTCTTTTTGATTGCCTAGTAATATTCCTATACCACATCTTCTTTATCCATTCATTTATCAATAGACATTTGGGCTCTTTCCAAACTTTGGCTATTGTCAGTAGTGCTGCTACAAACATTGGGGTGCATGTGCCCCTTTGAAACAGCACACCTGTATCCTTTGGATAAATTCTTAGTAGTGCAATTGCTGGGTGGTAGGGTAGTTCTATTTTTAATTTTTTGAGGAACCTCCATGCTGTTTTACAGAGTGGCTGCACCAGTTTGCATTCCCACCAGCAGTGCAAAAGTGTTCCTCTTTCTCCACATCTTCACCATCATTTGTCGTTGCCTGAGTTGTTAATGATAGCCATTTTGACAGGTGTGAGGTGTTATCACATTGTGGTTTTGATTCGCATTTCCCTGATGATGAGTGATGTTGAGCATTTTTCATGTGTCTGTTAGCCATTTGGATGTCTTCTTTGGAGAAGTGTCTGTTCATGTCTTTTGCCCATTTCTTCGCTGGATTATTTGTTTTTTGCATGTTAAGTTTGATAAATTCTTTATAGATTTTGGATACTAACCTTTTATGCGATATGTCATTTGCAAATATCTTCTCCCATTCTGTTGGTTGCCTTTTAGTTTTGCTGACTGTTTCCTTTGCCATACAGAAGCTTTTTATCTTGATGAGGTTCCAATAGCTCATTTTTGCTTTTGTTTCCCTTGCCTCTGGAGGCATGTTTAGTAAGAAGTTGCTGAGGCCGAGGTCAAAGAGGTTTTTGCTTGCTTTCTCCTTGAAGATTTTGATGGCTTCCTATCTTTTGTTTAGGTCTGTCATCCATTTTGAGTTTTTTGTTTTTTTTTTTTTAATTTTTTTTTTCAACGTTTATTTATTTTTGGGACAGAGAGAGAGAGACAGAGCATGAACGGGGGAGGGGCAGAGAGAGAGGGAGACACAGAATCGGAAACAGGCTCCAGGCTCTGAGCCATCAGCCCAGAGCCCGACGCGGGGCTCGAACTCACAGACCGCGAGATCGTGACCTGGCTGAAGTCGGACGCTTAACCGACTGCGCCACCCAGGCGCCCCGAGTTTATTTTTGTGTATAGTGTAAGAAAGTGGTCCCGGTTCATTCTTCTGCATGTCGCTGTCCAGTTTTCCCAGCACCATTTGCTGAAGAGACTGTCTTTATTCCATTGGATATTCTTTCTGCTTTGTCAAAAGATTAGTTGGCCATACATTTGTGAGTCCATTTCTCGGTTCTCTATTCGGTTCCATTGATCTATGTGTCTGTGTGTGTGCCAGTACCATACTGTCTTGATGACTACAACTTTGTAAAACATCTTGAAGTCCGGGACTGTGATGCCTTCTGCTTTAGTTTTCTTTTTCAGGATTCCTTTGGCTATTTGGAGTCTTTTCTGGTTCCATAAAAATTTTAGGATTGTTCGTTCTAGCTCTGTGAAGAATGCTGGTGTTATTTTGATAGGGATTACTTTAAATATGTAGATTGCTTTGGGTAGAATCGACATTTTAACAATGTTCTTCCAATCCATGAGCATGGAATGTTTTTTCCATTTTTTTGTGTCTTCTTCAATTTCTTTCATAAGCTTTCTATAATTTTCAGTGTATAGTTTCTTCACCTCTGTGGTTAGGTTTATTCCTAGGTATTTTATGGGTTTTGGTGCAATTGTACATGGGATCGATTCCTTGATTTCTCTTTCTGCTGCTTCATTATTGGTGTATAGAAATGCGAGATGGTTTGCCTTTTTTGTCTCTGTGCCAAGTCCTTGAAATCTGACATGTATTGTCCACTTATAACACGTTTCATTTTGGACAAGACACATTTCAAGTGCTCAATAGCCATGTGTGGTTAATGGCTACCATATGCAACAGTGCAGATCTATAAGGAGAGGGACATGCATAACTTTGTGTAATAAGGATGATATTGGTTGCAGAGTGTTTTGAGAAGGAATAATTAACCAGAGTTGGTTGTAGGGGAGATGATAAGGCAAACTTTAGTGAAGTCTTTAAGGAAGGAATATCTGATCTCTGTCCTGAAGGATAAATGCAGGAGGGAAGGTGGGAAGGAACATTTCAGCCTTGAGCAGAAGTATTTAAAGGTTGTAGCAAATAAGCTGGTGTAACTAGGGAACAGGGCATGTGAATAGAAGTCTATATTGTATAGGCTCAGTCTTTCTGGAATCTTTGAGGCCAAAAACACATAGATGTTACATCAATTTTTAGGATAATACCATAGCTAGCATTAAATCCTGAGGTTAATGAAATACTGTTGAATGTCTCTGCTTGCTATCAGCTTGTTAAGAGACAGAACATGTCCTTGGATATCTTTTTAAAGAGAACTGGGTCATTGAAATCCTCCCCTAAAGCCTTTCTAAATATTGAAAAGGCTAACAAAAATATTTACTATGTAATCTTACTTGACATGTTTCTTTTATGAACATTTTAAAGTATTGATATATTTATTGCTCTATAACATTGTAGTATCTTATGTTTGTTTGTATCCATCTTATATAGAACAATTAAAAATTATTTCAGAGTCTGTTGTTTTTGCTTTCGTGTCATTTGACTATTCATAGCAGTGCTGCTTTATGATATTTCCAGGATAATATGTGATGAAGATTAGGAATTTGTCTATATGTAGCACTGTGCACTGATTGAGAGTGTGTTGAATTCTATACTGTTCATTCTAGTTGAACAACTGGACCATTAATGTAGAATGTGGTAAAGTCCTTAGGAAAATTAGTCTTGCAGTCAGGGCCCACATCTACATTGATTTTTTTGGTAACCATAATGAATAAAACAGAGGCCTTTCTGTATCTGTTACTCAAAAGAAATCATTACCTAACCACAAGTTGTGGTTAGAGCCATTCTTTGATTTCAAGGGACCCAAGGCAATTTTGAGTAGCCAACTCAGAAGTTTTCTACCTGGAATCTTTTTAGTCATAGAAATTAGGAAGATAATGTGAGAGTTGATGTATTACATGCCTTGTTTTCTTGAAGGTAATCTCTTTAGTATTCCAACTTCAGAAGTTTTGTTATGACACCTATGTGGTCCTTTTCTTTTTAAAATTGTCCATAAGGATTTTGTGCTGACAGGTACAAGTACCTAGTCCCTGAGTGCCTGAAGTGTGATGGTATGTCAAAGCTGAGTGTAATAGCTAGGCATGAAAATTGTTTTTCCACGTATCAGTATGATGTTACTTTCATTCATTTTATTTCATAGTAATAAAAACTTACCAGTGGGAAAGAATGGACAAATTAATATCACAAACTTTAAAAAGTGGAGGCCAAGTTAAAACAAAATGAAAATCACTCTAATGAGTCCATAGAATCCCTTAAAATCTCATTAGTATCCCCAAATCTGGAGAGAAGCTAACAGAGTAGGTATTTGTAGTTCTCTTCTGACTGGAGTAGAAGCAGTGGCTTCTGGGAAATTATGGCAAGTGAAAAGGGGAAAGTCAACAATAGTCTCCCTGTAAAGGAAGTGAAGGCTATGAATTCAAAGACTGAGCCAGAGCCTTGGTGTTCTGTCGCCTCACATGTGAATGAAATACAAATACCTCCCCAATGAGGAGAATGAATCTTGGTTTAGGATATTTTTTAAACATTGTGGAAGAGAGCTCAGACTTCAGGTAAACACATAAACCAACAAGTCAAATAAAGTAGATATTTAAAAAAAAATCTTTGTGGCCCCATCAATGAACAAAGAATTCATAAAGATTAGATAAGGAAGATACTTAGATGGTAAGAGGAAAATGCAAAGTTGTATAAATAGATCTGGGAGGATGAAAAACAAATGAACAGTGAAGGTATGTAAGAGGTTCTGCTATGAGAGCAATGCAAGAAATGCAAATGAAAGCAACTATTGGCTACCCTTTCCCCATCAAATACAATAATTATTTCAAGACATTCCCTGCCATTGGAGGTAAAGAGAGTTGGACACATTCTCTCAGACTACCTGACAATGTACATTTGCATGACCTTGTGGGAAACAATTTGCCAATAACTGTCATGAGTCTTAAAAATTGTACCTGTTGAATAAAATATAGATCTATGAGGTAATAGAGATTATATAATAGAGATTATATATAAACAAATAAATGCAGAAATAGAATAGATGCTAAACTTGGTGTAAGATAAAAAATAGAATATTTGCATTGCATAGTCTCAAAGTATCTCCTCATAAGATACTTATTCTAAATTACAAGTATGAAATTGTAGCTTTACAGTGATAGTGCCTGCAGATGCTACCTTCATTTATTGATCATCACCAGTGATGAACCACGTTGATCTCCTGTGTCTCCTGAAGAGTGCACATAGCATTTCTGTGGCATTCATGTAAAAAATGGATGACCTGAAGTGACATCAGAGAAGCCCAAATTGAAGGCCATCATACAAAATAACTAGTTGATACTCTTAAAAAGTGTCATAGATTTGAGAGACAAAGCCTGAAGAACTGTCCTTGGATTGAAGGAGACTCATGAGCCATGACAACTCAATGCAATGTGGAATTGTCGATGAGATCCTGAACTACAAAAAGGACATTAGAGGGAAATTGGAAGATTTTGTATAGGGTCTGTAGATTAGGTAACAGTGCTACATCCTAGTTAACTTCCTGGTTTTGATAATTGTATGGTGGTTATATTTGGGGATGATGATAAAAGTTACATGGAAGTTATTTGTGATGTTTTCACAGTTTCTTTGTAAGTATGAAATTATTTTCAAAACCAGCAGTTAGAATTTCTTAAAAACCTGAAAAACTTTTTCTTTTTAACATTTAGAGTAAAACAGATACCACGGAAAAACCAACTGATCAATTATGGCCTGGGTCTTCTACTTCTGATACGATTGTGAAAGATGACATTCTGCGGCTTAAAAATGAAATTCATGTTTTACGACAACAAAATCAGGTGATGAAAAAGTTTCCTATATGTTGTGAGAATTCTTATGACCTCATTATATTCAAAGGATATAACCGACTTTTCAAAAAAAAGTTGCAGAGGCAACATGAGTTAGTAGACAGGTTTATTAGTGGGTGAATAAGGATTCCAGTTATTTCCCTTTATTGGCCATAAGGTCATCATTTTCTCAAAAGGTAGGTTAGTGGAACTCCAGGCTCCTGGGTCTATAGGAGCATGGCTGCTGGAGGTATTCTTCTCTGGACCAAAAAAGTTAAACCTTGTTTATATGGTTAAGATTATTGAATCCTCAGACTTACTTTAAGAGATCGCTTAGGGAATACTTCTCTGGCTAAGTGTTTCTATTTCATGTAGTTCAAAATGAATACAAAATTCTTAACTCTTAACTCCTGTCATAAAGCTACTTGTCAAATAAGTGAATCTTACAAGCCATAAGGAGTCTTTGTAGAATTATGAAAACGATACATCAGTGTTACAGGGTAGAGATAAAGCATAGAAGATAATAAAAAATAAGATTGGACTAATCAATGAATATGATGTTTATTTTCTCTAACTGCTTTATTCTTTTGTATCTAGGAACTTAAAGAAACTGAAGAAAAACTGAGAGATACAAATCAAGACTTATGTAATCAAATGAGACAAATGGTACAAGATTTTGACCGTGATAAACAGGAAGCTGTGGATAGGTAAAGTCTATGCAGAGGTCTAATGCCTGACTCTGCCCTTCACCGCCCTGCTCTCCCACCCGCCAGAAAAGATTCAAGAGAAATTATGGTGTGAACCCTCCCTACTGAGATCTTACTGAAGATGAGTCTGTGGCTTCTCAAATTAGAATTTAGAACACATTTTCCATAGAAATGATGTTATGTAGTGGTCTGGGTTCTATAGCACCATCAAAACTGCAGTTCATTGAGATAGTATAGCTTAATGGTTTTCATAAACTAGTCTGGGAAACTATTCTTTATAAGGAAGAAATCTGTGGGAGGGAGTATGTCTTCCAATTACCAAATCATAAACTTGGAAACAGAGTTTTGGAACATAACATACTTGTGAGTTGGGTACTGCTAGTATCTATTTCTAATATAGATAACTTGGAATTTTGGAACTCTACCCTATTATTTCAATTAATTTTTTATAAACAAGTCCTCAACAAAGACTATTATCTTCTTGAAGGACTGGGGCATTCTCATATCCAAGTTTCTCATTTTTCTCTGGAAACATTTAAAGAGAAAAAATTTTGCAGAATTTAAGATCATCCACTAGGAATTAATTATTACTTTTGGTTGGGGGGAACCAATCTGACCTTAATTATAATTTGCATTAGAGAGAGGGAGTGGGAAAGAAAGGAAGAAAAGGAAACCAATTTATCCTGGTGTTTCTAATAATGCTGGGCATTTCTTTAGATTCTATTGTCTGCTTTCTGTTTCTAGGTGTGAGAGGACTTACCAGCAGCACCATGAAGCCATGAAAGCCCAAATACGTGAAAGCCTGTTAGCAAAGCATGCTTTGGAGAAGCAGCAGCTCTTTGAGGTTTATGAGGCAGCTCGCTTGCAACTTAGGTGAGAACGAGAGAGTTTAGCTACCCTTCAAGCTCTAGAGACAGCTTTCTCCTATTCTGTAGCTTAGAGGAAAATTGTTTTGCAGCTCTTATATATATATATATATTTTTTTTTCCTGGTGGTCATTTGGTTGCTGGTTTTGTGTATCCAAGGTCTGACTTAGATAACATGAATAAGGAGATGGCTGCCGTGCAAGAATGTTACCTGGAAGTGTGCAGAGAGAAGGATAATCTAGAATCAACTCTGAGGAAGACCATGGAAAAGGAGCAACAGGCTCAGGAGAAGAAGGTACAGTACAAGTTCATGTTGTGTTTGTTTCAACTCTTTTCTCTGGCCTCACTATTGTCATGGAAACCAGTATACTTGTTCTCTTGTGAAACAGGGAAGGCCTATGGAGAAGTCTCTTTATTTTTGGCTATCACACTCTGATAGCTCACAAAATACAGTAAATATTGAGATGATTTTTAAAACCTCAGTAGAAAATGGCATACATATAGGAGAAAATGATTCTTCCTTATATTTATTCCAAGTGGCAAAACAGGGTTCTAAAAATAAATGAGAGTAGACCCAAACACTGTGAGTCTGAAACCCAGGGATTCTTGCTTTCCACTTTTGCTGGCTCCTTAGTTGAACCTACAGAGTCCCATGGGTGATGCACAGCATATTCCCTCAGAAACATTTTCCTCTGACCCATTTCTGTCTCAGTACCCAAGTGTCATTTTATTCTTCTGGGGAGAAGGGCAGGAATTTGAACTTGGGACTTAGGATAGGGAAGGTGGAGAGCTTTTCAGGGAAGCTCTCATTTTTTCGGGAAACTGGAGGGGCTTCTATACTTTCCCCTCCTGCCTGAATCTTCTCAGTTGCTGTTGGTGAGTGTCCAGGAGTAAAATCACATGTAAATAGTCGCCTGTCTTTTCTTCCCTGTCCTGCCTGGAGCCTCATCCAGACACACGTCTGACTCTCCCTTCCATTTTGGACCAGCCTGCAGACCACAATTTGAAAGCCACCTGCGTCAAGATTAGAAAATATTTTTAAAAGCCTGAGTAAATGTTGTATACAGAGGTTTTCTGAGCAAAGTTATATTAAAGCAGGCTCTTGCTACTACAGACTTTAAAAGAATAGAAAGAGCAGGTGAGGAATTCAGCTCTTTTAATGTTTGTATTTTTTTGAATAGATTAATATGGTGAAAAAACATGCCATGTGTACATATCGTCTAATGGAAAAAGAACTTCTAAAGCGAGCTCTTTTAGTTAGTATAAAAGTTAGAAGGGATCTTAAATTACTTAGAAATTAAGGACTTAGCTTTTCATAATGTATAAAAAAATTAAAATAGGGAGATCTCTGCTGTGATTTTTTTTCTTTTTAAATACGTAAATTGACAAGAACAGAAGAGTAATTCTCTCAAAGAGGTCATTCTTTTCAGGAATATATTTTCTGGTACTTTTCAAAGAATCAGTTTGGCTATAAAATTAGATCTCATATAATCTGTCGCTTGGAATTAACAGCTGCTGCTGACCAATACTGGCTCATGAATGCTTGTGCACCAAAGCAGGGAGGAAAGTTAAAACTGCTCTTTGGCCCTTCCAAAAAATCTTACAGGTTAAATATTTTTCTTTAAAGATTTTAAGTTGTCATACAGTGAAATGGACTTTTTCATTTGGTGTTTGTTCTATACGTTTTTAACATGTGACTTAACACATGTATAGAGTGATGAGGATACAGAAGAGTTTTATCACCCTATGAGACTGCCTTATGCTATCCCTTTGTAGTTAATACCCAGCCCCACTGGAAGGGCCAGTGTACTTAACCCATGAGAAGTGTAATTCCTTTCTTCTCTGGAATTCTTTAGTTTTTTTTATTTGGATTTATGTAAATCCATTACAAAAATTAGTAATTTTTATAAGCCAGTCATAACAGAACTTTAAACTTAAGAGAATTTATTTAATCTTTTCATATCCTAGGAAATGTTTCACACTCACAATGGAAGAATCTTATTAAACTCAAGCAAGCTAGGGAACTTTCATGGAAGTTCTCTGCAGGCCATAAGGCATTTTCCCTGCAGTTGACTTTCCGGTCAGTTACTTAGTCTGGATACTGAATTTATAAGATAGACAACAGCAAGAGTCTTACAGTGTATTTCCCTGTTCCATATGTGCTCTTTTCTGAAACAGTTGTTGAGTTATGCCATGGGTTAAGTAAGAGCTCAATGCCAAGTTTTAAAACTTTTACTAACACACGGAACTTTCCTCACATGTCAACCTGGCTTGTTCAGAGAGTGGGAGAAAAGTCATCCACACAGAACCCCTTGGACTCTGTAGTAATCATTGGAGGTCATGAATTTGCAGACAAGGCAAAGATGGACGATATTCCCATTCATAATGTCATTTCTGTATACGTTAGTCTCATCTGTACAATTGTAATACATGCTAAGTCAGTCCTTAGAAGTTAGAGGGTTTTTTTTGCTATCTGGGGCATGCATATCAAGTGTAAATGTTTTAAAACTATTGAAAAATTTTCTTTCATGATAAAACTTTCAGAATTAGATATTTCTGTAGTATGTTCAAATGGCAGATCCCTGTGTTCAATAAATCTATTACTTCTGTAAAGAGAGGGTAGAAAGGTTTTCCTTGCTATGGTAGACTGCAAAAATGGCCGGACATTCTTCCCATCACTGAATGCATGCCCCTTCGGAGTGTGACTTTCTAGCAGTTCTCAGTAAGAAGTCATCTGTTTCTCATCCCTTGGATCTGATTTTGGCCAATGGGACATTAGTAAACATTAGGCAAAAAGAGTCTTAAAAATAATTTATGCATTGGGACTTACAAGCTTGATACTCTCAGGAACTCTGTGGCCACCACTGTGTGAATGATCTGGGATAACCTGCTGAGTGATGACACATGTGACCATGTCATCTTTCTAGCAGACATCAAGCTAACCCCCAGACGTGTGGGTGAGGCCATCTTAGACCATGTGCTTCAACTGCTTGCAGAGGTCAGCTAAATTGACTCAGATCAGAATCACCCCCCAGATGACCAGGGAATCATGAGAAATAATAGATGTTTGCTGTTTTAGTTTAGTTTTGTTGTTATGGTCAAGTTTTGGCTGGCTTATTATGTAACAAAGCAATTGATATATATGCACAAACATACAAACACACAGAAAATTGGTAGCAGTTTTCTGTTCTGGGTCAAAAGGAAAGTAGATACATATGGAAACAACTCCTGAAGCATAGATATACACAGGTAAGACAATGTGAGGATTCCTTTTAAAGTCAACAAAAAATAACTGTGATATATGACATGACACTGGACAACTTTCTCAGCCACGTGATAGTTCGATTGTTTTAGTACAACTACAGTTTCTATGACCTGATTGTGAAGAAATGGGTCCCTTAGTCACTGGAGATTTTCTGAAATCATAGAACACTGAACAAAAATAGATAGCATCTTTTTGGTATGTGCCGTTGGTGGAGAGGAATCAGATGGCAATTAAGACCAAAATAAGCCAGGTCAGGTGTGAACCAGGAAAGAAACCAGACAACCAGGTAGCATGAATCAGAAATAATGGTAAAGAGACACAGAGCAAAAGCTCTTTTGCTGCGTGGCAATAGGTATGTGAAGTGTATACTTCTCTGGCATTATATTTTATGAGCTTCAGTGGGACCACCAGAAAACTGTTTCAAAAATTTTCACACTGGGGGCACCTGAGTGGCTCACTCGGTTAAGCATCTCACTCTAGGTTTTGGCTCAAGTCATGGTCTCATTGTTGGTGAGTTCGAGCCCCGTGTTGGGCTGCGCACTGAGTACAGAGCCTGCTTGGGATTCTCTCTGTCTCTGCTCCTCCCCCACTCACCTCTCTCAAAATAAATAAATAAACTTAAAATAAAAATTTTCACACAAAAACTCTTATAGGTGATTTTGATCCCTGAGTAGAGTTTTGTTAGAGTTTTCAGATCAACTGGATTCCTAAAATAAACAGAATAGTATATGAATAGTTCAAATTATTAAATTTGTATCTGATAGTTGACAGTTACTATTTCATAATGCTTTAGCTAGTTTTGAGAAAAACAATTGTCTTTGGTAATGAAAAAAATATGCCAGTCTGAATTTATTACAGGATGCATACTTTTAAGATAGAGCAATAATTTTTGTTTTATATCAGAATATATGTATTTCAGAAATGTACATTTTTTTTTTTTTCCTGGCCTGTGATACCTAATGAGTCCCATGATGGGTGGGGTGTAAACATAAATGTCAGTTAAACTTGTTAAAAAGTTGTTCTTCTAGTAACATATTGATTGTGTTAGATGCTTTTTCTTTTAATATAGCCACCTGTAAATTTTTTATGCAAATATTTGAGATCCAAGCAGGTCTTTACAAGACGGTTTATTAGCTGATTGAGTTAGCATGTAGGAAGATCATTTGTCTCTGTTGCTGCCAGTACCTGCCTATGACCAATATTTTATAAATTTGCCTTGGAGAATATTAGTATAATACAGAGATATTTACTTGAATTTTGTTTAAAGAGACAGCTATTGGAGGAAAGAGAAGAATATGTAAACAGACTGCAGGTGGAACTTGAAGAAAAGTACCAAGACACCCTTATGATGGAGAAGAGCAAGTGGCTGAAAGAACAAGAAACTGATATTAAACAGCAGGTTGACAATGAAGTGATGTTAGCCAAATCACACTGGGATGAGGAACAGACAGAGGTGTGGGTTAAAATTTCTTTTCAGTCACCATGTTTGGAAACTGTAGTATTAACTATAGAGAGACCGTTCTTCCTGAACAGACATAATTTTTCATTGCCAAGCACCTACGTGATCATTCATTTCACTTCTTGGGATTGGGCTTTGGGCAGCTTACACTAGTTTTATTTCTTAAAACTTCTCCCCTCTCTTGTCCCTTCAATGCAATTCAGGATATAATGGTTTTTGGAGGGGTACTTTTTGATTCCTCAAAATGAAACCCCCCTCTAATTTCATATTGTGGAATGAGTCAGATGACTCTAGACCAGTCTATAATAACAAATAGATAACCCATCCTGTGGATTAGAAGGAAGAAGTAATGACTGGGCAGGCTCAAAAGCACAAAAAATTACCTCTTTTACCTAAGTAGCAAATGAAATTACTAATAGTTTTCTAGAAAATTAAGAACCAAATTATGATCTTGAAAACTTAGCTGGAAGGGAAATCAATTTTCAAGCTTGTCGAAACTAGATTCTTTGGTCTGCAAGATTGCTATTACCTGGGGGTGTGGCTACCTAACGGTGGGTTGTAGACCACTGTCCTGTCTTTCAGCATCCCTCTTCTTCATCTCCCACCCCCACCCTCTGCAGCAGTTCATTAATCTAGTGCTCGCACCTGACATTCTTTTACTAATCATTTTTTAATACAGAAATATGTTTTCTGGAATATATACATTTATGCCTGTAAAATCTGGATAGCACAAAACCAATTCTCTATTTTTACAATGTTGCACATTGTTTTATATTTGAATCTGCTAACCAGTTATTTACCAGGAGGATGAGATAGAGAAGTAATGTTTGTGTGAGATTGTCAGGAAAACATAAACTGCTACACAAGATTGCCATTTCAAATGCAGCAACGTAGCCTGGGACTGTGGTAGCCAGGGAAGCAGTCTGAGAACTCTGGATACCCAGGAGGTGGGAACCAGGAACAGAGAAAAGCAACTTTTGCTGTTTCACAGTTTTGCCTCAGACTGACTGTGTTTTGATCCATCCCACTATCCTGTTGAAAGCAGAAAGTTGTCATTAAGACATCCTTCTAATGATGCCCCTCCTTCAATGCACAGTAGACTCAGTAGAATTTAATACCCTAACAAACAAGAGTCTAATGTGTTCAAGTAAGTAAAACTATTTTTAGATCGTGCAGTTTTAGGTTCATTATTTAGACTTAACCCAGTGCCTGCTTTGTGGAAAGCCTGATGTTGATGGAAAAATACATGTTAATAGTATAAATTTTCCTCTTAAAAAAAAAAAAAATCATGCCACCTTTGTAGTGGCAATGTCAAAGCTTCCAGAAGGTTGCATCTTGAGAGCAAGAAAGCCTGACCTATGGCAGTATACTTCTATCTCCCATGTGATTGATGCCACGTACATTAGGGTCCAACAGTAACTTTCAGGATTTACTTGAATATATTTTCATTGACTAAGCTTCTAACTCTCATGTAATTACTACAACAATGTCTAGATGGTTTTCAGACACAGCTGTGGTTGCTCTTTTGGCTAGCTATTAATTCTGGGTTTTGCTTATTTGAGTGTTTTTTCTTTTCATACAATTTTTCTTCTGAAAACAGATCAAACAAGAACTTATTCAACAGCTCGAAAAAGAGTGGCAGTCTAAGCTGGATCAAACTATAAAGGCAATGAAAAAGAAGACCTCAGATGGTTGCAGCCAGACTGACCAAGTAACCACCAGTGATGTTATTTCCAAGAAAGAGATGGCAGTCATGATAGAAGAACAGAAGCGAAAGATCCAGCAAGATTTAGAGCAAGAGAAAGAAACAGCTGTCAGTGGGGACCTGAAGAAACTCGAGGTGGAATTAGAACTCAAATATTGTGAAAATATTGCCAAACAGGTAATAGGTTTATTATAGTACAATTATTGGAACTGCCTATTAATGAAAACCTGTAAAATACTACCATTGAACTTGTTCATAACTTTATACTTTGAAAATTTTGTGCATTCTAGGGTAGAACCTCTTGGGTTGTTACAAATGTTTCTTCCACTGTATTTCTGTCACAAAGCTGTTACCCCTCAGTTTTTCCATGTATTCTTTATGTTTACAGAGTGTTTGCTCCTCTGAGTTTGGTCTAAGCGTTAGGGTGCTTGAGGTTAAAGGTGGCGGTTTTATAACTGGATGAAGCACATCTTAATTAAGAATCTTTCATACCTAACTTTATAGAACGTACTCCACTGAAGTAGTTATACATAAGCAAACTTAAAGCAAGTGAGATATTAGACAGTATTTGCACTGCAACTCACAGAGTTGAATTTGCAGGCACTCCCCTCACACGGGACTTTGTCTGTAAATCCCATACGCTGCCAGAAAGCAGGGCCATTGCCTCCCCTTAGAAGCACTCAGAAAGCTAGCTTGCTTTTAACTGGGGCATGTTGTTTGGTTTCCAAGAAATGTCAGCCTGAGTGAGCTGTGTTAATGAAATAGCTCTGTGTTAATGCAATAAAGAGTTTTTGTTGGTTTTATCTACATTATTATAGTGATTCTCAAAACTTTTTTGCTTCAGGATGCCTTTAACACTTTTAAAAACTCAAGACTCTGAAGAGTTTTTCTCTGTGTGGGTTATATCTATTTACTGTATTGGAAAATATAAATCTAAGGAACTTTTAAAAAAACAAGAATACTGGAGCACCTGGGTGGCTCAGTGGGTTAAGCGTTTGGCTCAGGTCATGATCTCAAGGTTTATGAGTCTGAGCCCAGTGTCGGGCTATGCGCTGGCCATGCGGAGCCTGCTTGGGGTTCTGTTTCTCCCTCTCACTCTGTCCCTCTCGTGCTCACCCACTCACTCTCTTTTTTTTCTCTCTCTCTTTTTCTCAAAATAAATAAATAAACTTTAAAAAATTAGGAAAATAAAATCGGAAAAAAAAAAAACCAAGAATACTAAACTTGCCTTTGGCTGTCAGAGCAGTGATAAATCACATAGCATGACACCATTGTATTAGTTACACATGCAGGAATGGGCATGAAAAAAATAAAGTGTGAATATTACTTTGAAAATAGTTTTGATCTCACAGACCACCTGACAGGGTGTTTAGTCCCATAGAGGTCCCTGGACCTTAATATTACTTATTTTGTGTTTACAAACGAAATGCTTATTATGCAGTCTTAAAATAATACCTGAAGTAAAGTTTAAAAAAAAATGTATTCAGCTTTTGATAAATACTTGGAATTCTGCCTATTTGTTAAGTTGTTCTACATGATTTAAAAAAAAATTTTTTTTAACGTTTACTTATTATTGAGAGAGAGAGAAAGAGCATGAGCATGAGAGGGGCAGAGAGAGGGAGACACAGAATCCAAAGCAGGCTCCAGGCTCCAAGCTGTCAACAGAGCCCGATGCGAGGCTTGAACTCACAAACTGTGAGATCATGACCTGAGCTGACGTCGGATGCTCAACTGGCTGAGCCACCCAGGCCCCCATAAGTTGTTCTACATGATTTTAGAGGGAATCCTTATAGTATGGAAACATAGGCAAATCTGTGTAATTGTATCAAAGGCATCTTCAGTCAGTTAAATCATTTCCTGAAATGTTTAAGGTTTGAACAGAGTTAAGAAAATGTTCTGTGGACAAAGAGACATGTTTAAGGGTGCTGTTCTGGTATATATACAATTACAGATGTTGTGAAGAAAAATAGCATCATGTAGTAAGAAAGGAAATATTATTAATAACCTTTGGATGAATATAAATTTCTATAGGGGCTTTATCTTTTCCCCATATTTGTAACTCCCTAGGTTTTACCTGTAAATGTATTTAGCATTTTACAAAAAAATTCAGCCCCTTATGTCAACTCTAGTTTTGTATGTTTATATGGATATAGGTATGTGTGTATTTATATTTCAATACAAGGAAATAAGGAAAGGTTATTTAATAAGTGACCTTGTGGTAACCTATGACAGATTTACCAACAGATCACCCTCATAATTCATCAAGTCTTATATGTTTGCCTGAATTGCTGTATCACCCTCATTCTTTAGTTGCACACTCATTACAGACAGCAGGAAAAGTTGCTTGGTACAAGGCTCTAAGCTATATTGGTGCATGCTTGCGTGGGTTCATGTGTTTATATGTATGGCATGAGGACTGTGGATATGGTGGGTGTACTGATTGGGCAGCCCTGACCCCAAGCAGCCTCTCTGCATGTCTTCTCCTTTTTCTTAAGATAAACAGGAATTTCTTGGAAATGGCAATTGGTACTTTGTATGAAGCTTTCCAGTAATGGTATTGGCTATCAAACATTTATAGATTTTTACTTTTTGCGCTGGCATTTGCATGGGACAGTATGGGAAGTTTAGAACAGAAGGATTAGAATCTACTGTTTGGGATCAGGTGGGCTGCTTGAGGTCAGTGTAACGTAGTGCGATATGATGTAAAATACACATGAAACCATAGTTGCTAATTGCGAATGGGATCTTTCTGAAATTTTATACCTCACTTTACTGCCTACTCTTGCAATATCCAATTGCAGGTAGAAACAGCTGTGCAAAATGCTCGTCATCGATGGCTGGAAGAACTACCTGACCTTGCAGAGTATAAAGCACGTGTAAGAGCAGAACAGAAGAAGTGGGAAGAGCAACAAGAGATCACTGTGGCAAGACGGGTAAGTGCTCTCCTGGAAAAAAGCTTGAGGAGGGCCTCTCTCCTGATGTCTCATCTTAGTCCCGAGAATCAGTATCTCCTCACCGTGTTGTGGAAGGATTAAATGCAATAATGCATGGTAACCATTAGCTCAGAGCCTGACTGATGGCATCTGTTCTCATCATCAGGATGCTGAGGGAGAAAGAATATATTTTAGGGTCTTGAAACTCTCATAATCAGGAAGGTAACCTTAACTGTGAAATTAAATCCTGTTCTGTCTTGCCCTATCTTTAGGAGAAATTGAGAACAGGTGTTTATCTGTTTATTAATAGCTACATGGTATCCTTTTGCATGCTGGGAGTTTGTTTTCCATGCTTTGTCAGTAGTCTTATAATCTCCTTGGAAAATAGCCAACTCTCCTTACCAGAGAGGTCATGTTGTTTGACCAGAAACATAAGATATTATAATCATTTGCATTCTTCCAATTTATTAGTGTAAACCAGTTCTAATCAAAATGCCAATAAACTGAACATGGTTTTGAAATTTGACCCTAATTCTAAAATTTACTTGGAAAGGACTAGAAATTTTTTAAATGTTCTGGAAAAGAAATAGTAGTCCAACCCTAACACATAATAGAGTATGTTGGAAAGCGACAATTCAGTGTTGAGTCACAAAAATAGAATTTTTCATTTTGTATTACACAGACTTCAGAGATAGGCCCAACTATGAATAGAAATGTAATTGTTTCAAAACAAAGGAGTAGGGAATTATTCCATAATAAATGGTCTTAGGATAGCCAGATAGCACTTTGGAAAAATTAAGGTTACCTGTGCTTGCATCGTAATAAAGTCTAAGTTGATGAAGAAGTTGAACATTTTTACATGAAAGCATAGAAGAAAGAAATTGAATACCAACATCACTCAGTTTGGGGACAATAGTTGTAGTAGCAAAGATGGATAAATAGGATATAAGAGATACAGTTAAAACATTTTTGCTTTTGTAATAAAAAAAGTGAGAGGATAATAAAAAAAAAGGAAAATAAATGAATTAAACATAAGAAACATTACTACTGATATGTGGTAAGAAAAACAGTACAAATTTATAAGAAAACAAGGAGCTGTGGATAAGTACACCAACAATGTCCAAATATGACAAATATGTACAAATATGAGAAGTCCAAATAGCAAACTTAAACTACTATTTTATGCCATATGTATGTCTTCTTAATTATAATACAAAAAAGATAATAGATTGCAGTGTTAAGTGTATACTATTCTCCCAATATGACAACCATTTTCAAAATAGTATAGGTGACAGACATTGTAAATGACTCATATGTTGTATTCATAATCTTATTCCACAGAATACTTAAATAATTCAGCATAAATAAATCTACTGTAACAGTTTTCTTAAGTTATGTGGTAGTACACAGGTGTTCACTGCATTATTCTCTATACTCTTTAAGTATGCTGAAATAGTTTAAAAGGAAATTTAAGAGGGAGAGAGAGGAAATAATATGATGTACATGTGACTCAGCACTGAAGTCAAGAAGAATAATAAAGTTGGTTAGTATATAGAAAATAGGCAAGAGATTTTTTTTAAGTTTTTATTTTGTTTTTTATGTTTTTGAGAGACAGAGTATGTGAGCATGTCAGGAGGGGCAGAAAGAGAGGGAAAGAGAGAATCTTAAGCAGGATCCACTCTCAGTGCAGAACCTGACACGAGGTTCTATCTCACAACCTTGAGATCATGACCAGAGCCGAAATCGAGAGTTGGACATTCAACCAGCTGAGCCGCCCAGGGACCCCAAGAGATCTTTCCTTAAGAACATAGAAGACCTGAATGTATGTGAATGCAGAAATACAGGAATGAGAAGACAGTGTGTTGCTTCTCAAACTTTATCAGGCATGAGATTCACCTGGAGGGTTTGTTAAAGCAGATTCCTGGGATTTATTCCCAGAGATTCTGATTTGGTGGGTCTGGAGTAAATCCTGGAGTAAATCCTGAGAAATTTGCATTTCTAACAAGTTCCTAGGGGATGTGACAGTGCTGGTTTTTAGACCACACTTGGGTGTGAGTAGCACTATTCTAGATAATTATTCAGCCACAGAACATAATGTTAACATGTTGCGAATCCTTGGTCCAAACCAAAGAAGGTGACCTAGGGCCAGTGTCAGTGCATTGGTGGGAGGGTTCTTGGGAGATTAGAGTGATCCTTCAAGCTCCGTGAAAATTTAAAGCCGGTTATCCAGAGTCCAGAAGTTGTCAATTGGTTCAGTGGTTCTTAAACTTTGCTGCATATTAGAAAAACTTGAGGATCTTTTAAAAATTACTGTTGCTTGGGGTGCCTGGGTGGCTCAGTCAGTTAAGGGTCCGACTTCGGCTCAGGTCATAGTCTCAAGGTTCGTGGGTTTGAGCCCTGTATCGGGCTCCAAGGTGACAGCTCAGAGCCTGGAGCCTGCTTCCCATTCTGTGCCTCCCTCTCTCTCTGCCCCTCCCCCACTCATGCTATCTCTCTCTCTCTCTCTCTCTCTCTCTCTCTCTCTCATAAGTAAATAAATAAACTTAAAAAAAATTACTGTTGCTTGACTCCTAGCCCCCAGGCTTTATGTTTTAATTGGTGCAGGATATGGCCTGGGTATTAGGATTTTTAAAAGCTTCTCAGGTGATTCTACTGGGCAGCAACTATCAGGAGCCACTGAGTTGATTAATGCTGTTAAATTCTCCTCCCACAACTTCATGTGAGAGGATGCACACCTTTGGTGAGGTTGGGCAGGTCCTCCCGATTCCATGGGATCTGCCACCTCCACCAAGTCACCTGGTAATGATCTCCAGGCATCCATTGTGACAAGACTGTTTTCCCTGAAGGTACTCTTTAAGCATGTTTCACATCACTACTGAATTATTCCTCTGGTAGCGAAAGAATTTTGCTGTGCATTCCTTTGTAAAGCTCATCTTAGTGGGTTCCCTTAGTAAATTTGAAGTAGAGTTCAAAATTTGGATTTATGTGCAACTATTCAGGAACACTTATTGAATAAAGGTGTATAACATGTTTTAGAATTTTTACAGTTGAAGGTGTTTGCTAAGATGATATAATAGCTGGAAATTTAGGAGACAGATACCCTATCTCAACATCCAGAGCATATATGTATACAGTACTGACTTTCAGCAGCCACCGCTGTCCAGGCCAAGCTTTTGGAGATGCCCACTTCTTTCAACACTTACATCCTTGTGACTTGTTTGAATTTATAAAAGGGATTCAAGGTCATTATCCAGTCTGCTCATTATGTAGATAGAGACATTAAGTGTGAAAGAGATTAAGTGACTTTTCTAAGGCCATCTAGCCAAAAGTAATAACCATATAATATTTATTGAGTCCTTATCTGCCAGGCTCTGGACCAAGTCCCTTAAATGAATTTTCTTTTGTCATTTAACCCTAATGCAATGCTATCAGGGAAGCTTTATAATTATCCTCATTTTATAGATGAGGAAATAGAGTCTCGAAGGAATTGAGGAATGGGCCTGTGGTCCCACAGCTGGTAAGTTGACTCTAGCAGTTTGTCCCCAGAGCCTGTTCTGTTAAGCACCTTGCTGGGCTGCAGTCAAAGGTAGGATTAGAGTTAAGCCTAGGTGTTTTGATTCCCTGTGACATTTTGGTTATGTATTATTACTGTGTGTGATCTGCGAGTCTTGTTATTCTGTTATAAAAGACAATTAGATTAGTGAAAAAATGACTTTTTTCTGTCTAGTATTGTCATTTAATGAACTGCTCTAACCACTGTGATGCCATTAAAATACAATTATGTTTGTCAGCACGTTATGCAGGTATGTGTTATATTTCTAAGTAATAGTAAGATTTCTTTATGAGGCTGCTTTCGCTTCCAGCTATTATATTATCGCTTCATGTAAAAGATACTTCATTTGTCCTGGGCTTAGGTAAAATTTGAGGCTCTGTCTGTGTAAAACTAATATGAATTTTTCCCCTAAAATTAATTTTGGATAATTGTCTAATTATAATTTTTTGGAGTCAGTTTAAATTTCTAGTTCTCCATCAAGAAATGGATGTCTTTTACTTATTTATTTTGTAAGTTTCTTTAATTATTTTGAGAGAGAGAGGGAGAGAGAGACAGAGAAAATCCCAGGCAGACTCCTCACTGCCAGCATAGAGCCCTATGTGGGAGCTCAAACTCAGAAACCATGAGCTCATGACCTGAGCCCAAACCAAGAGTTGGACACTTAACTGAACCACCCGGGCACCCCCAAGAAACTGATGTTTTTAAAATACCATATGACCTAAAATACTAGGTGATCTAAAATGGAGAGGATCTTTGAGTATAGTATATTTTAGGAACAATGTCTTATCCCAAATAGTTATGGGGAGATCATAAAGAATTTTAAACGTACATTGTTCTGCCTTTTAGATATCATTTGCTGTTTCCGAAGCTAAAGAGAAATGGAAAAGTGAGCTTGAAAACATGAACAAAAATGGAATACCTAGGAGGGAACTGGAAGAGAAGATTCATTCTCTTCAGAGAGAGCTTGAGTTAAAGAACGAGGAAGTCCCTGTGGTTGTCAGGGCTGAGTTGGCGAAAGCCCGGAGTGAATGGAACAAAAAAAAGCAAGAAGAAATCCACAGAATTCAAGAACAAAATGAGGAAGATTACCGGCAATTTTTAGATGATCATCGAAATAAAATTGATGAGGTGCTTGCGGCAGCTAAAGAAGATTTTGTGAAACAAAAAACTGAACTCCTTCTTCAGAAGGAGATGGAATTGCAAGCATGTCTAGACCAGAGTCGTAGAGAATGGGCTACGCAGGAAGCCAGGCGGATCCAACTGGAAATCTATCAGTATGAGGAAGACATCCTAACTGTACTCGAATTTCTCTTAAAGGACACCCAGAAGGAGCATGTCGGTGCTTCAGAGAACCAGCAACTTTTGGAACTCGTGTCGACTTGTTCTTCAAAATGGGTGTCTGTGCAATATTTTGAAAAACTAAAGGCCTGCATACAGAAAGCATTTCAAGATATCCTCTCCCTAGCTACAGAAAATACCGGCTCAGAATGGGAAAAGGTATGTTCCTGATAAGTGGAAAGAGCTCTTAATAAGCATCAGAGATGATTGTAGCAGTTTCCTATGGTTATTTTTTCCTTTCTTCATTTTACAGTCTAATAGACATAAAACTTGTGTTTTTACCAGTGGCTTAACAACTTTTTGTAAGAAATCCAAAGGATTTCATTTCTTTTTGCCAAAAAAACTTTGCTTCTTCATAGTGCCACAAATATGAGGCAGAGCTTTTAGACTCTAGACATCTTTTTCCTAAAAAATATATGCTGTTCTTTGTAAGGGCCTGAGCTTTGAGAAACTGAATAACTCTCATTCCTATTTTTGTTTTTTGGGCATGACCACTTCAAGAAATATGCATCGTATTAAACTAGAGTTTCTTAAGAGCTTCTAAAGAGTTTGGAAGCATATTTCTTACCCTCAAGGAATTTATGTCACAAAGGCAAAAGATGCCAACCAAGTACAAAAAAAGATGTAGAAATAAGCAGTTAGAGGTATGGCTCACTCACACGATACTCTGAAGCCAGTTTACTTGGTGTACTATCTATGTGTGTGTGGCATGAGTGAATTGTATTCTTTTAGTTGTCTAAGTAGTCTCTGACACCAGCTTTTAGTTTCTGTGGAAGATCTGATAAAACCAAAGTCTTCCTAGCTTATGATTAAAGAAATGAGGTATGGATGAAAAATCTAGAATAATATCGTAGGTATTGTGTTTAGCCGATTTCAACATTTGGAATTAGAGGTAGAAAACATTCCCAATATTATAAGGTTTGTCTGAATGAAGAGACGTAAGAGTTAAGTTTCATTAAGATATCATGATTAAAGATTTTCAAGGCCAGGATTGAACATTTGGTATTAATACTTATTGGAATGTGTTATAAGCTGGGGAAAAAAAAAATACGAGTTCTAATCCCCACACTTGAGGATAACTAGTCTGTTACCTGTGTACCTCATATACTATAGTTGCTTGTCTGAAAAAGAAGCTAGGCCTTTCCACATCCTAGATTTGAGATAGTACAGAATTTTACAGCCATAGCTTACCCAAATGATTAGTCTACTCCACCCCAGTCCCCCAAGTAGATACTGTTATTCATGATTTCACAAAGATGTTACTAGTTAAGAGTTGCTTTCAATGTAAAAATAACTGGGCAAGATCACTTCCCATGAATAATGCTTATACTACTTTACTGAAAGTTTTTGGAAAAAATAATTAAGATCAGAACTACCTACAGCAGGTTTTAAGCATGAACAGTGGTGGGGAAATCATGTTATATGCTTTCAAGTTTGCTTTCCTGAAAAGATCATCTCTGCTGTAAAAAATCAGGAAAATATGACAGCTTTCTTCTATTAGTATATAATCAATCCTGGGGTCTCTGTAGAGGGCTTATGATTGTGCAAGCAGTGTCAAGGTCATCTATATGACTTAATGTAGTTCACATGTAGGGACAGAGTCACATAATTTGGCTAAGAACTTAGACTTTTGCAGCCTTTGTTGGGTGGGTTCAGATTCTATTCCTGGGGAAAGGGAATAGTAGGCTTTGAAATGCCTACTCTGGCATTAGTCACCAAAGAACTCTTGATCTTCTGGTGTTTGAGAGCTAACTCAGCTCAGGACCTTGAGGTAGAGCGATGATTTTAGGCAATGGTGATAAGTTTGCAATATGGGTGCCATAAATATGAAGAACTGTGAATTGTAATTGGTAAAATTTGTCATTTTTAGAACTGCTTATACAAATTAAAATGGGAAAAAATGATCAATAAATATAAAACAAATCCTCATTAAAATAACTAAGATGATCAAAAGTTTCTTAAAATGGAGAGGATATGGGGCGCCTGGGTGACGCAGTCGGTTAAGCGTCCGACTTCAGCCAGGTCACGATCTCGCAGTCCGTGAGTTCGAGCCCCGCGTCAGGCTCTGGGCTGATGGCTCAGAGCCTGGAGCCTGTTTCCGATTCTGTGTCTCCCTCTCTCTCTGCCCCTCCCCCGTTCATGCTCTGTCTCTCTCTGTCCCAAAAATAAATAAACGTTGAAAAAAAAATTAAAAAAAAAAAATAAAATGAAGAGGATACAATGAATTAAAAATGTATTTCCAAGAAAATGAATGCCTTATCGGGATACATTAATATAACAGGTCATAATGGAAAAGAGAAAAGAGAAATACCAATTGGAACAGAATTTTCATACAAGTTTAAGGATGTGTGTTCTGTCTTTTCTTACCATCAAAGTCAAGTTAGAATTAAGACCAGAAGGTTGGTGTTCCTGCGTTTTCTGTCATCTTGGCTTTTCTCCAGTTATGAGCAGAAACTGGAAACACTGTCTACCTTAGGGTTCAACTTTTATTACTCCTTCTGGCCTCAGCGTCATTGCCTCTTGGTGTTCACATTTTCTCTGTAACTACTCACCTCTGCTTCTGTCATATATCGTAGGTAGGTTTCCTAACAGTCAGTTAAATAAGTTTCTTCTGATCAGAATCAAGGCTTGAAGGGTCAAGCATGTATGGTGTATTTTAGGTAATTAGACAAGGTAGCTTACTCAAGATCACCTGCTCTGTTCCTTTAGGATTTAGTATGTCCTGTGATTTGATCACATAAACTATTAAAATATCTTAAACTCACATATATGCGTACAAAAACTATATCTCCTATCTGTCTCCTAGTCGGCCCACCAGTCCTCTGTCAGATAATGGTCTAATTTGAAAATTATGGCCACAGCAGACTAGTTCATAGTAATGACAATATTCATGTAACACCCTAAGAAAAGTACTGGTGATAGTTTAGGTAAGAGTTTTTTTCAGGCAGTGTTACCTTTTTATATTTTTAATATTAGCATTCTAAATAGAGAATTGCTTGAAGATTTTTACATGGCATTAACTAGGAAGATCATCTCTTTCAGAAAAATTTGGCCAGGACCTCTAAGGATCCTGACACAGAGGTCACTGGCAGAGGAGACCCTGGAGTCCTGGCAATCCTTCCTGCACCTGCTTTTGGACACTGCGCTCAGTCCTTGGCCTTGCAAGAAACAGAAGCAGAAGCTGGTAATGGGATTTTATTCCTACTGGTCTCCGTAACATTCGTAATCACAGTTCCAGAGGGTTACTTTAAGAATACAAGGAAATCAAAGATGTGTATAGCTTTTTTGAGTGAGCAAGTGGGTGATACTACTCCTACCTAATCTGTGTCTTCTCCCTAGATTTAATTTTGCATTTGGGAAACAAGGCCACTTTAGACCCTTTTAATTCTATCTTTTCATGGTCTTCCCTCCGTTCCTAAGTAGTTCTTATTATAAGGAGAATAATGAGGATTTTAATAGAATAGTCATGTTTTTATTCTCTGGCTTTATTGAGAAATCATGGGTTTCACGTTAAAGAATTGGCAAATAACTGAGACCTTTTCGTTCAAATTATTGAAGCTTATTTCAACCATTTTTTAATGGAAATCTTTCTGAGGAGGTGTTTTCTGATTTATTTGTGAATTTCTTGAGTGTAGGAGTAGTGTTTTATCTCTTCCTCTCCAATACATGGCAGAGTGAATGGCACATAGTTTGTGTTCCTTGAATGTTTGGTAGATTAAGAGTTTAACGTTTCCATGATGACTTAGAGTTTATTATGAGAATGAATTATTGTACTGTACCCCCCTGACCTATTCAGAGCTCACTAAGGAATACTGATTGAGCTTACATTGCCTCATCACTGAGAATTTTGAGCCAGGAACTGACATACCCTTTATTCGCTCCATTCCTTTTTAAGATAATGAGATCTTGTAGCTTGCTCCTTCCTTCCACCTACACACACCCACTCTTTCTGTTTCTTACCTGCTGTCTCCATTGCAACCTGGAAAAGAACTAAGAATTACCAGAACAATTCATATGTACTGGGTCAATGAACTTAGTTTCCACAGTTTTTAATTTAGTAGGTAATGTTACCAGAATTGTAGAGGATTTCTGCCTTTCCTAAGAAGTCAGTTGACTGTTATTTTCCTCATCGTCCATAGACCCTTTTTCCTTTCTAGGTTCTAGGTGGTTGAGAACATCTCATTGTTAATTAGGTGTATGGGAATACATCCTTAATTTGTAATTTGTATTTTGTTTCTTTTCAGTGTGATTGTGTGTCTGTTGTTATATTTAGAAAAACCAGAGAATTCTTAAACATTTTATAAAATGGGCAGAAACAAGTTTTAGATATTATTTGGCTTTGGGAAGTCCTATCAGTGTGAAAGAAATTAATTTTTACTTAAGACAATCAGACTACAAAAGATTTTTCTTTCTTTAGTCTTTGTTCCCTAAAAACAAACACATTAACAAATTCATTAGAGAGGACTACCACCATTGTTAACTGTTTGGTCATAGCCTCCTAATATCTTATCATTTTTTTTAAGTAAGTTCAATATTATGAAATACTTTATACATGCAAAGAAAATATGTGATGTGCATGCAAGTTATGAAGCCTAGCAACCAGGAACCCACCCATTTGGCTTAAGAGCTAGAATATCACCAGTACCATTGAAGACCCCTGTCTGTTTGACCACAATCCCATCCCTGTAACTTCCTTACAATCCAAGGTAACAAATATTTTGATTTTTAAAAACTATTCTCTTGCTTTTCTTTATGTTGTGACCAAAGGTAAGTATCCTGAAAAAGTTGTTGTTTTGTCTTTTAACATTATAAAAATGGTTTACTATTTATTGTAGTTTTTGTAACTTGCTTTTTTTCCACTTAATATCAAGCTTCTGAGATTTGTCTGTGTTAATGCGTGTAGCTCTAGTTTATTTATATTGCTGTGTAGTATTCCATTCTGTGAACATACTACAATTTATTCTGTTGTCAATGGTCGTTTGTCTGGTTTCCAGTTTTACAACAGTATCTTAAATTAAAAATATAAATGCCTTGTATGGCACCAATGTGATGCTTTATGAATTCTTTGATGCTCATGGACATAAATGGCACCATTTAAATGAAACTAAGTCAGAAAAGAGCTAAGAATAATTTTGTTGGACCAATGATTTTACATCAACATTTGACCCTGTGTCAGTTTGTGTTTGTGTTCCTACTTAATTATATCAATTGCGGTAATAGTAATCTATTTTTTGTATCATTTTTGTGTGTTATTTAATTTTAAGAATTCTTTGTATTACTAATAGCAATAGCTGTTATTTACTACATGCTGACCTGTGCCAGGTACTGTGCCACACAATTTTTATAA